CTTAAATAAGCGACACATGATCTTGTCTGACACATCAGGCTGGACTCTGATGCCAGACCTTTTCTAGATAGAAACCAGACTCCTTCTGGACCATGACATCATTCTGACATCATAGGTAGGAGCTAGGCTCAGGCACTAGGCCATAGGCTGGTCAATTCTGGACCCTAGGCCAGGGCAGGGCAGGGCCAGACTATGACATCATATATGACATCATAGAGCACATGATACTTAGTAATCCTTACCCAGCTAGGTACCAGGGGTCCATTACCGGTCCCTGGGGGGTTTTCCCTCATGTATATAAGGCAGCATCCTGGGGCACCCTGTCCCCCAGTTCTATTCACTTCGTTGTTGCGCTTAACAGCATTACCTCCCCATACTTAAGTGCTATTATCTCCCCCCCTCAATATCAAGCTATAAGGTGGGTTTGTAGGTTTTGTGATACTGCCCTCATAGCCGACTTCCATCGGAAGAACCTGAACGCCCCTTGTCACCTCAATGCTGCTATCTTTGGGGGTCTCAACTTTCAGCCTATGCCTTCACTGCTGACTGAAGCATGATGCCGCTCTGGATGGGAGATGGGCAAGGGCACCTCACATGAGGTCATACGCCATTGAGGGGGGGGTAATGTCACGACTTGGCACGGCATCTAGCCATCTTTTAATTTTTCCTTTTTGCAGGCTCGAACCCGCGACCTATGTACTACATGCCCAATATGGACGTGTCATTATCTACTGTACAATTAGATTAGATGGGTGGCAGTGCATGGCACAGCTCTGGCTCTGCTGACACAGCCTCTCTGACTCACTGGCCCCCAGGGCTGTGTCAGCATGCTGCGCACGGACCAGCTGCGCACGGACCAGTGTGCACAGCCTCCCCTAAACATCCCCTGTATATAAGCCGGCCTCTGCTGCCCTAGGGACCTCAGTTTCAACCTCTTGTCCCTAGGTCAGTAAGCCCTCCTTTGTACCTTTTCCTTACTTCACTAACTAATATATTATCTTGTCCCTAGCCTTAGGTTTGAGCTCTGCTCACCATCGCTTCGGTAAAACCCAGTTGAACACCCCCAGCGTCTTTTGGTCTGTGTTTCCCCTGTTGCTCGATCCTACGTCGCGACACTACGCTACGCTCCCCATCATTTGAAACTGTACAACTCTGCATGCATTCTCCAAAGCAACCATTGCCATTGTATAGATAATAGCGCAGCAACAAGGCAAAAGTAGCAGGCGCACCTTAAGCACGCCACACAACGGGTGCAATCAAATGGTTTGGCCTCCGCCGCTTCCTCACACTCAGATTTAGAGTGCTGCTCAAAAAACCCGACCTCATGGTAAGGCGACGTGTTGGATCATAGACTACGTAGATACATCTGCAGCGCAACCGAGTCTCAACCACTTTCAATTGGAGTTTACAGGCAGCTGACAAGTGGGGCATGTGATTCATAACCTGTGGCAGTGACGTCGAGAAGAGCAATGACACAGCACAGACAACCTAAGGACATTGGTTTCACCGTTCGGTATCTGAATAGGTTCACTTGCGGATATCAATCAGGGGCAGATGATAGATGTAAATGCGAGCTGTATTTGGGGAAGGTGTCCACAGGTTAAGTATCACAAGAACATACATACACAAATACACCGGTATAGACATATTCTCTCAAAACGCGCCTACCGTGGCTCGTAGTCAAGATGTGGCAATGCAATACAATGAGCTGGCCTCCGCCGGACCATTCTCAGGCATTCATGACAGAGCACCCTTTGGATAAGCCGGAAGGCTTGCGTGTCTTACCCTCCGACCTTGGCAACTTCCGAGGTGCAGACGCTTCGCGGTCCAGACCAGCATCTTCCGGCTTCCGTTTCAGACTCGAGTCCGACATGGCGATACTCGAACGCACGGGAGGTTCCCTGGAGCCCGACCTGAAAACAAACTGGTCTCCCTGTTTGTCCACTAGCCATGTGCCTTTGGTCGTAACAGCACAGGCAAATGCATACATGATCGGACGATGAGTGGAGAGGGCAGGAGGACGGTTTGACGACATCTCGGCTATTCCGACCTGCGGGCTCGGCTTGACCACTTTTTGGGTGTCGGCATATTGGCTTTTCGCAAACTCTGTAATGGCAGCCAGGCCAGCGTCACCATCACCGTCCAAGTCTATCGCAGGGTCCGTCTTTCTTACAACGTCGAACTTGCTAAAATCAACTTTCGCATAATGTTCTCGGCATATGCGCGCGAGATCCTCGACAAGTGTCCTTAGCGGGGATGCATCGCTGAGTTCCACGAAAAGCTGTCCGGACTTGAGAAACATCAGCTTCTGATGTCCTCCAGTAACGGTATGCTGCTTCGAGTCGATCTCCATCCCGTGATATACGTATTCCACATGGGTTTGCAGATCCGTGAGACGATTGTGAGGATGATAGCGGAGACAAAACCAGTTCAATATGTGCACGAATGATTCGAGGTCATCGGACAGCTCATATGGCTTCTTTCCGGGATATCTGAGAAACATCGCCGACATGAATGGCCACGTTCCCTGGTCATTTTGTCAAAACTAGCAGGCAACCAGGCGACAGAACACTTACCGATCGATCATCTTGAGTAGCACCACCTTGCAGCTCGACGTCATATTTGCACAAATCCCAGTCGTTGAGAATTCCAAGTCCCTTCACTGGGTCCACAATGAGTATATTTGCAGCACTGACGTCACGATGCATCACGCCAGCACGCTCCCATGCATCACGGTGAGCTGCGTAAGGATATTAGTACTGACTGTAGAGAGATGGCCAGGTCGTACTCACCTGTGAGCGCACACATCATCACTGAAACCAGTATCCTGCTGGATTTGTAGTCTTTGAGGGGCCGGGCAATTTCTTGCACGACGAGACGGCAATGAATTCTCACTGACGTCCTAGAGGAGAACTCATGAGTTCGCGTTTGCTGCTTTATTCCTCTTTCCCCGATCACGTCGCCGCCACAAACAGGCGTGGCGATGTACCCCACACCTTTCCTCCACAGCCTTTCATAGACTTCGATTTCAGATTTTGACATCTCTGCACGCCAGGAATCTTTGAGGAATACGAGCTCGCCAGTAGCAAGGTCGTACGCAATGTAGCATTTCGTTCCACGTCCGTCGGGAGAAAGACTTGCGTAGACGTGCTTGCCGGTTAAGAAGGAGCGGGGTGGTTGCAGAAGTTGAGGCGAAGTGACATGGGTATGTTCTGGAGATGAAGGCGAGGAGGTCGATGAAGCACAAGTCGCCAGTGGGGCATCCGCAATACGTGAAGCAGACACCCTCAGAGCGGGAGATGAGTCAGAACAGTTGTCTCCGCCAGCAGATTGCCACGATTCCACACAGACCACGTCTTCCTGACGGAATTTCACCTTGCTTATAGGCCAGCCTGGTGACATGGCCTGATCTAGACATTCGCGAAGGTACGGGTCCTGCAAGGTCTCTCTGCATGCTTGCATCATGTTGATCTCTTCCTTAGTCGCGGGTTCCACCGTCGGGTCATAGCCTCGTTGATGGCGGTTCATCTTGCTCAGCCGATAGAGGAATCTGTACATGTAATCTGGGTCAGCCACGAAGTCGAAGGGATTCGTGACGATAGCGCCAGCTCTGTCCCAGCGTACAAGGCGCGCTTCGGATCTGCAGATGACGATCATGAAGCAGAACTCGCGGTGTTGACGACGCATGAGCCTTGCGGCATAGTCGGCAATCTGACCTCTTGCCTTGCGCTTCTCTAGTGCCGACCTGTAGAAATATTTGTCGCTGCCAGGGCCAAATTCGAAGGGAGCCAGATCGCGATCTGTCTTGAGCTCGATAGGAACGCACATCCACGCCCATCGCACTCTGGCCAGCTGCGCCATGCTCTCGTCATCATCTAACGAATTCGCGTCTCCATCGTTATTGTTCCCTTGCAGCTTGTAGTCCTCCTGAGCTTCGTCGCCCTTGGGATAAAGGACTACGTCAGGCCTCTTTTTGCCAATAGAACCGTCCACAGCATCTGTCGAGTCAGGCCAATCTGAGGTGTGCCTCGCCAACAGGTCATTATTCGGATTGACGTTGAGAACAGAATTAGAAACGCGGCACTAGAAAAAGCGTGGTTGTTAGGCCGTCATATATGATCAAGAGCGTAGTAGATGCTTACTAATGCAGCAGCCATTTCCTTCTCCTTTTTCTTGAAATCATCCTCTTCGAATACCAGGAACTGCGCTCGCTCCTCGGGGGTTGGGTCATCTCCAGGTACAAAGTTATCAAAAAAGGATTCCACTTCCATATCTTGCGAACGTTTGTCCATATCGCCGGCTAGCAGAAGTCTATGTTTATCACTGTTTTCTGTGCCTATGGTCGATTGTGCTGAGTGCGGATCACTAGCCAACTTTGCTTTCGCAGGAGTAGTCAATAAGGCGGGATTGGGTGCAGGCGAAGGAGTACAAGTCCTGGGAGACTGTTGGCTGTTTGGAGCGATGTCAGATTCAGAAGGTGTGGGAGTAGAAGACATGTTTACTCGAGAGGAAAGGAGAAATGTGTACTTACATACAGCTCGAGTTTTATACTCGCTGCTCAGCGGTCCCAGTTTGGGCGAAAGCCACCAGCAAGAGGCACCTGCATTGTCCTCGTTCTCAATTCGTTTTGTCTGTGACTCATTGCTAGGGTGACTCACGCTTCTTCGAGGCGGTGATGTCGCAAGGCTGGGACGATCACTCGCGTTGATTGGTCAATTTCTTTGTTTGGGAACTGCCACCTGCAGAATACAAGGTTCGTATCGATCCGCTAGCGTGCGATGGCCGATTGCACGTACTCGTGATATTTTCCGTGATGCCTTTGGGCGGTATAAACCAGGTGACGAGCGTAGCAGCTAACATGTCTTCCCCACGGTTCACAAGAGCGCGTTTCAGCACGTGATCATTGCTGTGGCTGATCATGATTTTACGTCATAGACACGAGTTTGGACCTTCGTATGCTGGGTTTCTTAGATGCACCAACAGCTCGCACAAGGTCGATACCTGTAAACACGGTTACGTCCACAACCTTTGAGGCCATTATGCACGCATTCTCTCGAGTTGGAGCACGCCGCAGGTCCTCACTCTGCGGCATGACTGTTGGGCGTACCCAGTTTGGCGCGCGACTTGCCATTGATCATACGTACCGTCCGAGACGTGTAGCGATCTACTTGGACCATGGTCGGACAAGATGGGCGGAGGGACTACCGGCATAGATCGTAACGTAGTCGTGTCGAGATATCCTACAGAAGCTCGAATAAAACTTATTTTCCCGCTGATCCGGGGCCTGGGCCGTCAAAGTCCAGCATGCGCTAGTACGCAACGTTCAACCGACAACGTTGCATCTACGTGGCTAATCTCACCCCGAGTCTCGCCTTTGACTTCAAACGTCCATGCTGTGGTATGGGACACGTGGAGTGACACTGATCGGAGACGACTGGTGGCGGCGGCGTTCGGCGGTGGGTACCTTACTTTGGAGTGTTCCGTTGCTGGTTTATTCTCGATAGCTTGAGAGAATGCTGACAGCTCGCCTGGGCATCCGCCTTTCCGCCCTACTGACCGCCGATCTGGACATCGTCTCTGGGGCGAGCGTTGACTGCGTCTCCTCAGGTAGCAACAAAAGGTACACCCTTCGCTCGCGCTGGACATGCTCACCATACCGTTAGGCTGCGTGTGCGCGGAGAGGACAGCGATCGTGAAGGCAGTCGTACGTGCTCATATCAATGCAGAAAGACCTCGATGAACAATCAAACGCGCGTAGAGCGAAGGCATTCGTACCTTCCGTGCGATTGCGATAGTCAGGTGCGCTCGTCATCTCGTTTTCAGTGGACATGAGACGACTGCTGCATAGTGACGTCGCAGTGCCGATCTCTCCCTGTGGGCTCTGCCGTCAAGTTCTGTACGAGTTCTGCCCATCACATATGCCGTGCCTGCTTGTCCCAGGTGATTATGATACGCGGCGTGATCAGGGAGACGCGAGTGGAGGAGTGGAGGTGCGGTCGCTCAGCGACTTGATGCCGTATCCTTTCGACCACTAGCAGATCATAGGTGGTAAAAGCAGAATGTGATGTGCCCTTATGCTTCGGTACTACACCTATCGAACATTCCGAATCAGTGATGCTGCACTCGGGCGGTTGCGGGCATTTCAAGCGACCACAGGGTAAATGAGTCGTGAGCGTTAAGTACTACTTGAAATCTAATGCATGCGCCTGACATGGCTGTGTCTACGCTCCACGATGCTGGCTGTTCATATTCAGGCTGATCGGCGACTGTGACCGTGACTTGAATGCTCTGGGACATACAGTTATTGTATGAAATCTCGATGTGTGCCATTTTACCCTTGCGCGTGCCCCCCGTACCCACAGCTCAATGTTGTGTACATCCGTTGTTCAAAAGTCTACAGTGGTGGGCACTACAGGATACGTACATTGTATGCGTGGCGTAGAGTTGATTCAGATAGCCAGTGTGAGAGTGAATGAGAGCGTGAATTATAGCATCGACTTGGAATATACTTCGAGAAAGGTAGGGAGCCAAGGGACGGGCGGCAGACATGAGCTTCCCGTGAACTTGGCGTGGAGGTGTGAAGGCCTTAAACTTCACCAGAGATGAGGATGAGACGAGCGAGTGTGCCTTCCAACCCAAACGAAATGGCGCACCTCAAGACTCACCGTAACAATTTGAAGTATAGGTTTATATACTGTTTTGCAATTTCGGGAGCTGTGGCACTCACGCCCACTCCGCCAGATACAATCCAAGCCAACTTATATGATATATTTAGCATACATACAATCTACTGGAGACAAGTATGAGGGCGCAATGTTATAAATTAGTACTAAGTCCAGGACACGCAATAGATAGTTACCGAACCACGAAACGGCAACGACACATACATACTGAGTATTAGTGATCCGATTCACAATTCCGACGCGAACATCGTTCACTCAGTCGTGGTGCCGTCCTTTTCGGCGGCCAATTGCGGAAGCGTGGAAGACGTGTGCTCATCGACAGGCAAAACCTGTTCGAATCCACCGGCCGCTGGCACTGTCAGCTCGTCATGATCCTCCACGATCGTTTGAAGGGAAGACCCCTCGCCAGTCGCCTCTTGCGGAGACCGCTTGGGCTTCTTGGATCGTGGCTGGCCCTCTTCTGAGCTCTGAGATGGGCGCTTTGAGCGATTTTGAGATCTCGAGCCGGTGTCGAGGATGTCCTTGAACTGACTCTGTTGCAATTTATCTGTCTCATTGCCGTCTTGAAGGAGATAGGCGAAAGTAAGAATGACGTCCGAGTAGATTGAGATCAAGGCATTGTGGTCATCCAAGGGCCCAAACGATGCAATTAAAGATAGCTCCTGAGATCGCTGGAGATTATGGACCACTGACGTGCTGCCAGACGATCTCTGGAGATACTCAGCTTTCACGGAGCGATGGATTACAGGCTTCTCCATCGGTTTCGATTTCGACGCGCGTTTGGCATTTTCGCGACGCTGGATGTCCAAAAGACGCTGCCATTCTTCTTTGTGCGCATCGTAATGGGCATGGCATGTCTCGGCGAGTGCTTTAGTGAGATGTTCTAAAGGTGGGCTTTTCTGAACTGGCGCAAACGGAATTTCCCCTGTGCTCAAGTATCCATGCTTCTGTTCGCCGCCGAGATCGAGACCTTCGGCGTTCTCCGCAAATGCGTCGTAGGTGTTCGTGACGTGTCTTTTGAGTAAGGCAGGATGTGGGGAAAAGTGGTGGAGGTGCCATTTCAGTACAAGCCAATTGGTCAAGTGAACGAAGGATTCTAAGTCGTCTGAGACCGTGTGTTTTTTCTGTTCCGGAAAGCTCAAAATGAATGCGGACATAAACTGCCAGGTTCCCTATTATGCCGTGAGTCAGCTTCTTTGATCAGCACTACCGCCACAAATGGTATTGTACTTACCGAACGTTGTCTCCGGCTTGGAGGGTTCTCTAGCTCACTTTTGAACTTTGCTAGATCCCAGTCGTTCAATATCCCCCCGATTTGAAGACAACCATTCTCATCAAATGTATCCTGGATCATGACATTACCATCACTGATGTCGCGATGCAGAACGTCCGCCTTCTCCCACGCATCCCTGTGTGCTGCAAAGTAATATGCAAGTGAGCATATATGGATAGATGATCACGTTGATGCTTACCTTTCAAAGCATCGCAAATCACTTCAACCATGTCGAGGGAATGTCCGTACGTCTCGAGCGGACGATAGACTTCGGAGAAGACAATGCGATAGTGCACACGACCGAGGTGCTTGACCTTGGTCACCTCCCGGACACAGTCCTGCGCCAACGTGCGCTGAATCCTGTTTCCAATGCGCACGTCGCCTCCGCTCAAGAGCTTCGCGATGTTCTTGACATTATGTTGCCACAAATGAATGTACGTCTTGTGCTCCGGATGCGCATCCTCCAAATCAGGTCGCCAGCTGTCTTTCAGGTACACCAGCCGCCGCTTCCGGACGTCATAGGCTACGTATCCCTGCATTCCCCGTCCAACAGGAGAGCTGCTATTCTTGTTCGGCTTCCCAACTAGAAGAACAAGGTCATCATCACATATATGTTCACCACTGGCAGACGGCTCGGAGCGTCCTTGATCTTGTTTGTTGCCTGGGGTCAGCGAGATGTCCGAGATAAGATCTTCCTTTGGAATGGTAACCCGGTAGACTGGCCAGCTCTCAGCCAGCTCGCGGTCGAAACATTGCGACTGATAGTCTGATAGTCTCGCCTTCTTGTCTTTCATGACCTCAGCCTTCCAGGCCTTCATCGCGTCGACATCCGCGGGTGTAGCCTCGACGAAGGTTGGATCGTAGCCTCTCTCCTCTTGGCTCATGCAGCTGTACTTGTATAGGAAGCGGAACATGATGTCTTTGTTCTCGCGAACGAAATCAAAAGACTTTGAGACAACGGCACCGCTTCTGTCCCACCTCAGAAGGCGAGCACGACACCCAGCAGCGACAACCATGAAGCAGAATTGGCGGTGTTGATTGCGCAACACGGCGGCGGCGTAGTTGGCGATCTGGCCTCTTCTCACCATTGCCGCTTCAGTGTCCAACAGGAATTCCTCTCCAGACGCTGCGAAGTGGAATGGATGGTCGCCGTTCTCGGTCTTGAATTCCATGACTAGGTCCGCCCAAGCCCAGGACGGCCTTGCGACATACATCTTCTGTTCCGGCGTCATGTCGGCCGCCTTGGCCAGCTCATTCTCCTTCAGCGAGTACGCGTCCTCGGCTTTCTTCGTGGCAGGATAGAGTATAACGTCCGGTCGCATTTTCTCGTTGGGGCTACCGCGTGTATCCGTGTATCTTCCTGTGTCTCTCGCAACAAGTCTTCTGTCTTCCGGGCCCAACGCAAGGATCTTCTCGGCTGTGCTACACTGCTCGACTGGCGTCAGCGCGCTAAAACAAGAGTGCTTGGAGAGTGACTCACATATGGAGTATACATATCCTCTTCATTAGTTGTTGTAAATTTGCTCTCGTCAAAAGTCTCTTCGTTGAATGTTGCGAGAACTGTGTCTGTCGGTTCATCTCCAGGCAGAAAGTCCGAGAACTTGTCTACCGGGATCTCCACCCAGTTTCCGGACATGTCTATGTCTAGTGGGGTGTAAAAACGGTCACGAAGCTTACGTCTCTTTATTCCCACAATAGCGTTGCCTTGTTGTGCGTTTAGTGTCGGCTTCGGAGGCGTAGACCCAAATTGAGGCGGTAGTACAGCTGAAGCTTTGGGAGGTGTGCGAGGTTGTTTAGCAGCGTCGGTGGGGATCGGCGCTGTATCGCTAGATGCAGTCTGAGGAGCAGATGAGGATTCCATGGTGTATGGAAGCTTGGCATTTGACTCACTGGATTGTGGGACTATATACCTTCTACATGTACTATCACACGGAAGGAGATCTTCGCCACAAGACGAGATTAAGAAGGAAGTGAAGAGGGACAGGTGTGCCCCAGAAGTTATCTGCATTGTTCATTGTGCAGCACGAGGATCAGTTTCATTTGAGCCACCAATTTCTCTGCACTCACCTTCAATCGCTGATCTGAGATTTGACGGTCGGTGTGGCCGCTATGTGATGTTGGTGCGATCTATATTTGCACGGAGAACACGCGTATATTGCGGAAACAACGTGGCCAATCAGGCTCACTCTGAACCGTTCCACAACGATACGCTGACCACTTACCACGCCTTGGACCGTCAAAAGAGTGTATCACGCCTTTTAGGCGAACTACAGCAGGTGTACGCTCAGAACACAGTGAACGAGGCTGAGTCGTGGCGTGGGCTCGTGGGATCAACAAGGTCAATTCTCGACAATCGAGTGTGCCAGCTTCGTCCTGGAGAACTGATTTCCGGGAACTTACTAACAGAGAACACAAGGTGGTGGACAAGGTGCGCGTAAAGGACCGTGCGTTGATCAAACTTGCAACGCCACGCTGAGCACGCGTGTGGAGAAGAACCACCAATGGGTCACGTGGGCGTGACACGAATCAACCAATCAGCTCAAGTGTCGACTCCTTCAAGCTCAAAGTCCAAGTCAAGCTCAGCCGCTTCGAAGCTACCAATAAGAGCACAGTTCAGTTGATGCTGTACATCATATGCACGATCTGCTTAGTACATGGTGTACTTTCCCCCTTAACCACTCACTTCAATGCCCATCTGCATAGCTAGCTGTGCACTTACATCACAACATTGACAAGTTGTTCATAAATTGAATTGAACGACTATCAATGTGAATGTGTAAGTGGTCTTGTATTACCGATGGCTCTCCTGTTGAACCCGCGCCTCATGTCCAACTTTTGCTCAATCAAGCAGGCGCTCAACTACTAGCACGAATGGCGTCTTCCTTCTCCGTCTTTGCACTCTTGAGAGAACGAAGTATATGCGTGTGCTTACTGTATCTGCCTTCAGTAACTCCATCCACCACACTCACTCGAAACCTTCGCCAATCACGGGACTCTACCCTTTGTCAGCCAAGGTTTTCTCACAATAGACTCTCACCATAAGGAACATAGAGGGAACAGCCAACCTCACGAATTGACAAATCATACTGCACGAGAAATGGACGACAAACTCGTGCCGATCCCAGTCAGGGACATGATGTGTCGTCACATTGGCGGGAAGGCACCGACGGCTGAGATGAAGGCTAAACTCGCCAGGATCAAGCTCAGCGAAGACAACTTTACGGGAGAAGGACTGTCCGCGTACAAGACACTTGTAAGATATGCAACGGCCTCGTTAACGTTCTTCATTGCTAATGATTGTTTTAGTGTGCATTCATACGATCCATCTTGGACCTCTGCACAGAAGGCGACGCGTCTTGGTGCAGGCTTGTGGCAAGGGACACCGGTAACTCAGGCAGGAGCAATCGCGGTGACGGCGGAATGAAGAATTCAGATATCTCGGTCTGCAAAGACCACGATGAGGCTCGCGCGACACACCAGCCCGCGACGAAGGCGAATGAAGACGCGGAAAATACAGAGAAAGCGCAGGCATCGTCCGAGGTGGCGACATCATGGCGTTGTGCCTCCTTGGTCATTGAGTGCAAGAGCTCGACTTCGAGGGATCACCCGTTCTCACTTCCGCGAGCGAGCAATGGCAGGTTGGGAAAGACACCAGCGATCTGTGACAAAGAGCGCGATGGCGCGGGATCCAATCGGCAAGCAGAGAAAGATAACTTCCTTCCGCAGACTCACGGCGCCGTCAAAGCGAGAAGCCAGATCAGCGAATATGCGTTGCATTTGATGCGGAGTCAGCCTCGGCAATTTTGCTTCATGGTGGTCGTCGCGGGCTGCTACGCGCGTATACTGCGATGGGATAGAGCTGGGACCATCGTGTCTGAATCATTCGAATTCGTCAAGGATTCGTTCACGATGGTCACTTTCTTGTACAAGTACGGGACCATGACGCAAGAAGAGCGTGGGTTTGACACCAGTGTTGTTGAAGCGCCGCGCCACGACATCGACGAGATGATAGTGTGGAAAGTTGGCATGGTGGAGGACGGCAAGCTGTCGCCCTATCACACAGAGCGCTTCAAGGATGCGATGGAGACGAAATGGCCTATCTACAAGGTGACGATCCCCCGCGAGAACCTCATCTCGGCCGCGGAACTTGAGCCTAAGGTTGACGAGGCTTGTGTGCCTGAAGATTCATCACAATCACATTCTGACATTCCCGCAGAGGATCTGACGCTGCTAGTCGTTCGACGATCGGATATGTGGTATTCGATATACGTGGCAAGCGGCTGGTCTTCATGAGGGATTCGTGGCCGCTGGATTTGCCACTGCGGAAAACAGAGCGTACTGTTTACCAGGATTTGTGGCGGAATGGGGTGAAGAACATTGCCACACCCATCAGCGGTGAGATAGTCAGGAGCGGTAACAAGGTGCATCGCACAATAACGCAGAAATATAGGGACACCGCGCACGGAAAGGACACGAGAGCACGCATCCATTTCCGTCTGATCACTGACGAGATTTACGAACCACTGGATAACTGCAAATGCTCGTATAAGCTAATTCTCGTTTTGAGTGACACGCTGCTAGGCAAGTGTGTCTCTGAGAACTGTATTCAGAGTTGACCGGCTAATTGTTATGGTCCTTTGGCGCATTATCTAGCTTGGACCAAAGCCGACATCCTACACTGTGACATCAGTATGAATAATATCATGGTCAAGTGTACTGGGCCCAAAGTCGGTCAAGTTGAGGGCATCCTCATTGAATGGGACTTGTGCAAGTACCAAGCCCAACTAAGAATAGGATCGAACCATCCTGCTCATTCGGTGAGATCCATGTCTGGTCATTGCTTATACATTGACTAATTTTATGGCATAGGGAACGTGGCAGTTCAGCTCAGCCATGCTCCTGCAGTATCCTATGAAATTGCGCCAGGTATCGGACGACCTCGAGTCCTTTGTCCACGTCCTCCACTAGACGATCCTCATGTGGTACGAGCACAGTCTATCCGGCCTTTCAAGTGAGCTCCGTCACCTTGTGTCCAGGACCTACGACGAATTCGAGACATTTGTGGACTATGACACGGGCGGGTTTCATATATTCAACTACATGCTTTTGGGGAAATTGCCATTCGCAAATCTGTCGTCCAAGCCTCTGGAAAGATTGACAAACAAACTGGCAGGAATATGCGAACAGCATTACAACGCATCGTCTACGAAGGAGCAGATCGCAAAGCTTGAGGATATCAAGATACAAAAGGGCAAGAAATCTCCATCGCAGCCCCCGGCGGCCCCAGTCGAGATTGATATTTCCGTTCGCGGCGATGATCCCGCGGAACATTCGGGATCCCAAGAAGGTGCTGAGAGCTTTGGCGAGGAAGGCGCCGAGAGCTCCGACGAAGAATATGCACGGCCGCTGCTCGATACCAGTACCAAGCCCAAACTACAGGAGCATTTGGCAAGCATTCAGGGAAGTTATCAAATATATGGAGAAGAACAGCAATACGCAAATCACAAACGACAAGGTGGACAAACCTCAGTTCACGCAAGCCACAGAATCATCGGCGCAACAAAGCATGAGGGGTGTGAAGCGATCAGCGCAATCGTCGAACGAATCCAATCGCTCGTCCAAACAATTAAGAACGACGAAGGGAGTACTCACTACGAGCTCCTCGATGGACTCCACCTTCAAACGGACTCGGATGAATTCCTTGATGATCGCGCTTGGGCTACGAGGGTATTGTGCCTTGTGAGTGCAAGTGGTGGAATCAGTGAGAATTTCGGTGATATAGCAGGAAACGGTAGTCGGGCCAGTCATGCTGTTCGTTCTGTCAGTTGTATCATGACTAATTATCGTTGAGTACATAGTGATACATACTGGTCTCGTCATTCGCTGTATGTATGGTTTACGTATATTCTCACTCAAAACATATTGCTGCTGACACACGATGATCGTCGTCGCACATGCAACATCCGAGGTCCCATTTGTTGTCGCCGACGATCTGCTCCATGCTTAAATGTGTGCATATCTTGCGGCCGCAATGTTTCCGTCACATTCCCTCTACTCTAGCCATGTGTCGTTGGCAAGATCTCCCGCCGTGGCACGCTCTTCAGGAACAAGCCGTAGGCATCTGAGGATAAATCGCTCTGCCTCGACAATCTCAGCCTCATCTTGTTCGAGAGAGAAGGCCTCTAGCAGCCTGCGAATGGTCCAGGTCGGCTCCTTGTGCGCATCAAAATGAGCGAAACTACCTGCGCGTGCGTAAGTGGGCAGTCAGTAGAAACACGACGTATGTGTGCATCCAAACCACGCACCATCCGCGGTGAAGAATTGGTCCTTGTGCATGCATTTGCTGAGAAACTCGACATCGAAGCGAGTGTCCAACGCTTCCGTCATGCGCACGAGATGGTCTTCCTCGACACCCCATCCGCTTTCCTTGTTGGGTTCGAAAAGCCAGAACCCGATTAAAAGCTCCATCACCTGTCGCACGCACGTCGTTAGTCGCGCACACATGAATATTACGTGAAATACAAACAATGCACCCTAGATTCCATATATCCGCAGGCGTGTCCCATCTGTAGCCAAGGATCACCTCCGGTGCACGCAGAGCCGCTGGCTGGATGATCTCTTGGAAGTGGCGGTCTCTCCAGTGCGCTGGGTGGATCCACATAAGCAGTGCGATGTCGTCGAGGAAGTAACTTACAGTGTCCGACGTCGGAGACCACAGCCTCCAAGTGGTCTTCCCGGATGAACAGCTCCGTGGATAGCGGAAGCACCTGCGACACAGTGGGCACGACAGGCGGACTGATCTCTGTGCCGCAGTCGTAGCATGCTGAAGGGTCCGCCGACAGCTCGTGTGCTACAACGGCTGCGACATCGACAGGCCGGAAGAGGATATTGTCGTGTTTGATGTCTGGAATGTCGTCGGTGTCAGTCGTTACCATTCATGTGCTACAGAAGCGCGGTGTCTCAACCTGCATGCACAATCCCACGGACATCGTGGAGATACTCTAATCCTCGGACGATGTGCTTCACGACGCGTTTGACAGTGCTCGTCTGCACACGACGGTCTCCGTTGGGGTTCAGTGTGCGAACATACTCCAGGCTGTACCCAAGCACCTCCGTAATCACACAGTGATGCTTGCCATGAGGTCCCGGAAATTCAAACGAGCCGTAGTACTTGATGTTATGTCGGAATCCAGGATGCCCTTGGTCTCCGTCGGCTATCTTCTGCAGCAGACCGAGCTCGTCGGACAATGGTGATGTGCCTGAAAGTGCCTTGGTCGCTTCGCAGGTCAAGATCTTCAGAGATACAAAGCGATCCTCCCTGGAAACCTTCGTGTGTATAAAAATCATGACGTTAAAATGCATTCACTGACCCTTTGTCTCGCGCGAGCCAGACGCTCGAGTATTGTCCGTATCCGAGTTTTCTGACGATGCAGTATCGGCCTTTGTCGAGAACTTGCCACAGTCTCGCAGGAATATCTAGCGTTATTGTGCCCTCCTTGGCGCAAGTCCTCTTCCGGGAAGCCGCTTACAGAGCCTGCAGACGAAGATTTGCCGCTGCTGGTGGAAGCATGTGACGCCCCAGTCATTCCAGATCCGTGCGTCAAGCCTGCCACGTCAGAGAAGGGTTTGGGTGACGCTGTGTTTATTGGCGAGACTTTGAGTGATATCGACACCTTGAAAGACCTTGAGGCGAGAGAAAGGTGGCGCATATGACATGGGCGGAGAGGACAGAGGATCATAGGAGACCATCCAATCAGAAGGCACGATCACTGATCATCGGCCAAGCGCCAAGGCGGACGCCCTCGACCGTCCGTCGACGAAGATGCTGTGCTTGTCTGCTCTGCCTCAATGACCGTAAAACGTTGCGAGTCGTTGTTATTGTTGTTGTCCGCTGCCTGCGTATACCAATCGGGAGACATTCTGCATGTAACCGAGAATCACAGATGTCGATGGCCAGATAGTACGTGATTGGACTGAGTGACAGCAACAGGTGCAATGTCGATGGGCTGATGAAAGGGTCAATTGATCTGCACATTGAGATCGAATGTAGAGTAATACCATGGCACTCATCGTTGACCTCGTCTAATGAATAGCCCACCTGCTTCGGTGATAAGCTGAGTCGCAGGTATCTCTCTGCATCGCGCGTGGGTGAATGACATCGGAACTTAGACTCTCAATCTCGAATTGTCTAATTCACAGTCATCTTGCTCGGACATGTTGGTCGCGGGTCTGCGTACCAGTGGATTTCAAGGCAGATCACCAGAAGTCGGCGTTCGGGTTCGGCAATGAACGCGATTTCCTTCCTGGTGACATCCACAGGCAAGCCGCAGTAGGCCAACTTGCCGACTACGCTGCCAGAATTCTTCAGCGCCAACACCGTCTATTCTTCTTCATGATCGCAATCACTCGCACCGAGGCGCGACTCATGCGCTGGGACCGGGCTGGTGCTGCTGTTACCACAGCCCTCGATCTCAAAGACCCCGATCAAGCGGACAAGCTACTGACATTTCTGTATCGATTAAGCATGATGAGCCACAAACAACGCGGCTACGACCCTACCGTTGTGCGTGAAACCAAGAAGGACATCGACTTCTCGGTGCTTCTTGATCTGCAAACATGACTTCTCGAGCACCTCTCTCATCGGGCGTGGCACAAGAGGGTACCTTGCGTACGACATGAAGACTGATAAATTTGTATACTTCAAGGACTCTTGGCGCATCTCCACAGGAAACTCGGAGATCAAGGTCTATCAGCATTTGCACGAGCATGGTGTCGGAAACATCGCCACGCCGATTTGTGGTGGCGATGTCGTGCATACCGACGGGACTCTGCACCGAACGTTGGCTCAGGATCACAACGGCAAAGCAGAATACATCCATTGCCGGCTTGTGGTGGAAGAGATCGGTGAGTCCATCCTGGACTATCCCACGAGCAAAGACTTGGTGGCGGTGATGTTTGGCGCCGTGGTTGGTATGTCGCGCTTAATTGTGTATATTTCAGAGCATGTGCTGATTTTCCTGCGTACAGCACATCGGCAGGCTTGGGAGAAGGCTGGGGTGCTGCACGGGGACATCAACCACCGATGCGAGGTCATCCAAAGAGCGGAAGTATATGACTACCTTGAGGATGACTCTTTGGTCAAGGCACAAATATTGACGATGTACTTGCCGACACCATCATCTATCAGTTCTCCATGCTCGTTTCTGTGTAAATTCCCTTTTAACAATTAGTAGATGCTCGACCACTGACCATCCGGCAGTCACTAGCTTCCCTGACAAGCAGCGAGGATGAAGGCCAGATTGTATTTGTGGCGCGCCCGCTGTCTGGTTGGTTTGAAATCTTAAAGCTGATGCCATGAGAGTGGATGTCATGACGTCGAATCATTAGCTTCCAGTTTTGCAATGTAGCCTTGGGCACACTCAAAATCGTCGAAGTCATGAGAAAGGCAAGTAGATACCTGGCTACGTTGCATAGCGATCATGTAGAAAACTACGTGAAGACAGAAGCAAATTATATAAATCTACGCTTCGGGTCACCATCATACATATAGCAAAAAAACTGTTAGTCCGCTAGCTGCCCTGCTACCCCTGGAATATGTTTTTCCAGCTCACCAACGTCTACGAGTCACTGGATGCGCCTTCCCGGAACGTAAGACTTGTCGTTCGGGTCATCGTAGTCCTCGTCGCCGCTGTCCTCGGAGGTCGCATCGTAGCCCACGTCTCCCGACTCAATATCTTCTTCGGTTGCCACTGTGCCTTCCCTTGCAGCCTGGGACCCTTCTGCGGTTGGCGCAAGGACGTCTCTCAATCGACGGTCCTCCACAACTGCGGAAAGTCGCTTCTTGGTGGTGCACAACTTCTTACCCTTCTTCCGCGACAATGTTCTACGCTTCTTCGCAGCTGGGCGCTCGGGGTCTGCGGTGCTCTCTCTCGAAGCTCGTTTCGATCCCGTACTCTCCAGTGGAAGGCTCGATCGCACAACGTGATCCCCAGCGGAGCTCTTCTCGAACGCCCTGAACTGGTCCTCCACTTTCTCTGGGAAATAACCTTCCATGTCCACTGCATCCGAAAACGCGTTCAAGAAATGTTCGTGGGTGGATAGGTATAGTTGAGCAGACTTCGAAGCCGTGTCTTCCGGTCTGAGTCGAAATATGTCCACCGCCTTCACGTCTTTCCGGTATCCGACCCTTCTGCGTTCCTTGCGTAAGTACCGAACATCGATAGCATCAGCTCCCTTGTCCAGATATCCTGTGAGGTCGATCGCGGCATAATGTTGCTTACAAAGCAGAGCAAGGGTGCACACGAGGGTTTTCAGTAGAGATCGTTCTGATAGATCCACGAAGGAGACGCCTTCCGAGATGAACTTCATCTTCATCTGGCCTCCCTCCATGAGCTTTGTTTTCGGGTTTCTACTTGCCGAATCGTACAACGAAGTGACGTAGCCTTGCAGACCTTGCGAATTATCGTGTTTGTGAAAGCGCAGACAAAGCCACGTGAGGACGTGCATGAATGATTCCAAGTCGTCCGATACTTCATGCTGCTTCATACCAGGTCTTCTGAGGAGCAACGCAGACTTGAATTGCCATGTTCCCTGGTGTATATTAATCAGTCAGGCGCAGGGAGACCTGAGTTTACGGAATACTCACTGAGCGGGTGTCTATTGAACCTTTCTCAAGTTGATTTCTGTACTTGGCAAGATCCCAGTCAATTAACAAGCCACTCATGATGATCTCCTCAGTTGATTCGGGGTCTGGAAGCATGAGAAGGTTTGCAGCGCTGATATCCCGATGCATTACGTTGGCTCTTTCCCATGCGGCTTCATGAGCTGCGGAACATCATCAGCATACACGTCAGGGGAGTAGACCATTTCGCATACGCACCTAGAAGAGTGTCCAACATGACAGCTACCAGATTCCGACCGGTCGGATAGTCAAAAATGGGGATGCCAATCTCTTCAACGACGAGACGGCAGTGTATGTGCCTAGATATTGTGGAAAGGACCTCTTGAGTTCGGGTTTGCTGCAGATTGTCGTCGCTTTCGATGACATCACCGCCACAAATAGGAGTCGCGATGAAGCACACGAGGTTTTCGTGCAACTGTTGGTAAGTCTTGATCTCCGAGTTGGAAGATGCAGCACGCCAGGCATCTTTCAGGTAGACAAACCTCCCAGTTTCCATGTCATACGCAATATATCCTCGAGTGCCGCGACCGATGGGGGAATCGCTCGAGAAGTCATCGCCGGCAATTAAGAAACAACGGTAATTCTTGTCTTCAGAAGGCGGCGATGTGTGCTCTGAATAAAAAGGCGGGGGAACAGAAGTTTCACCTGTTGCAGGTGGACCTGCGGACGCAGACGCCGCCGCTTTTGCTTCACCAACAGCGCGCCAGGCGTTCACAGAGACCACGGCCTTTTGGGGTATCATTACCTTGTAGATGGGCCAGCCAGGCTTCATCGCTACCTCGAGACGTTTCCGACGGTAGTCTCCCTCAGGTAGTGCATCCTTACGATCTCGCATGAGTTCCTTCTCTTCATCCGTTGCGGGCACCACCGTGGGATCGTAGCCGCGTTCCTCGGGAGTCATCTTGCTCAGTCGGTAGAGAAAGATGTATAGCGGGCGCGCCTTGTCTGCATCAGTGAGATCAAAGCTGTTGGTGACCACAGCGCCGGCTCGGTCCCAGCGAAGGAGTCGCGCTTCGGTCCTTGTCACAGTTATCATGAAGCAAAATGTACGGTGCTGGCGCCGCAGAATCCGAGCCGCATAGTCAGCAAGTTGTCCCCTTGCAGCCCGACTCTCATCGCCACCATTACAAAAAATCTGTTGGCCTAGTGGAAATGCTGACCGTGAAGATTTAGACTTGAGCTCGATGGGGACACACATCCAAGCCCATCGCACTCTGGCTAGATGCTGGTCTTGATCTTGCAGAGTGACTGGCGCTTCACCTTGATCGGCGTCGAAATTCGCGGCTTTATCCCCTCCATTGCTGTCGTAGTCAGCGAGCGTCGTCTTGCCTTTCTTCTTGTCTTTCGAGTTCTTCTCCGTCAGCGTATACTCCCGAGAGGCCTGGCCACCTTTCGGATAAATCACGACGTCGGGCCTTTTCTTGCCCTTCGTATCAGTAGGATCGGGCCAGTAAGATGTATCCCTTGCTTCAAGATCATTCCCTTCGTGGCTACCAAGTATCGATTTAGATACACGGATCTGCGAAATTCGAAGATCAGCAACGGGACGTGTATAAGTAACAATCCCGGAAACATACAACTTCTCTGCCCATGTCAGGCTCTGCGAGCTTGAGCTTTTCTTCGTCGAAGCTCAAGAACTTCTGTTGCTCTTTAGGCGTAGGGTCATCCCCAGGGACAAACATACGTAAGAATTCCTCGTCAGTGACCTCTGCGAGATGGTTCTCCATGTCGCCTGCGAGGTCCTTGCGGTTTCGATCCAAGTTCTCTCCGGTAGGATTTGTCGCTGAGAACTGTTGGCGAGAGGCGATACCTCCTTTTAGCGGTGAAGTCTTGTGATGAACCGGGGCGCTCTCCGCTTCAGCGTTGGTTTCTGGCGGATTCCGAGATGCGGTCGCAAGCGACGCGGATTTCTGGAGATTCTGAGATGCGGAAGACATGATAAGCGAAGATATCAAGCAGGTAGTTGAGAGATGTATACATACGAAGGAGGGAGGCGATAGAGACTATATATCCAGCGGGCGAAACTCAGCCACAAATCACCAGCACGGTGCGTCTACATTGTCCTTGCTCTCAGTTTATTTATATGTGGATCAGACGAGATGACTTACGTTTCTTCGAGGCGGTGTTATCGTCGACCAAGGATGCTGGTTGGCTAACTTGTTTGTGAGACAAAATTGCTTTTACAATACAATGACCACATCGAAACGCCATCATGCATGATCAATCACACATACTGTAACGTGTTCTGTGATGCCTTCCCGCAGACAGTACCAGCTATGTGGTGATAGATGCCGAAACAAAGAGACTTGCCCCAGTTATCGAGCGCACATAGCGACACGTGACCGTTGTTGTGGCCGTGCCGGAGTGAAGAAAGGCACGGCAACTGCGTAAGCTCATTCTTGCCACTTGGCCAGCTCTCTCTTTGACTCCATGATCATCAAACCTAGATCTATTAGACCAGGTGGCTCACGCCGACTGGTTCTAGCTGGTTCTCCCATTCAATTTCGAAGCCACATCACCGTCGTTCAACGAGCTGCATGTTCGGGGGCAATTGCAGACTAAAGTGGTAGCATATGTGGAGCGGAGTCTTCATCGGAGGGTTCTTCGCCTATGCGAATCATGTGATGATGGTGCGAGTGGCTCATTCACATCCACGCAGGCTGGCTGCACTGACTTCTGATAGACGGGCTGACATACTCGTGCACGACAAGTGCTGCAGTTGCAGTGCTACAGCAATAAGCTGAACAGGGGAAGTCTTTCCCGGCTAATTCTGGATGCTGGAGTCTTTTTCGCGATACTCATATGACTCGCCCGCGCACCTGAGGCTCTCATCTGTATCACAAACGCCTGGTCAAGGCCTGCCCTGTACCTACTGGCGAATCTTCCTGTCTCTCAGGGCGTCATCTCGTCTGCACACATGAGATCCATCACCATCGGAACAGTTTGCATGTGGCCTTTGTCTGCTTCACATGGATACTGTCCGAGATGGACACTAGGCCGCGGGTGACCTCGATGCGCTATAACCACTGCTCCGGAACCGGGGCATCAGGAGCAAGGATACGATGCCAATCTCCTTAATTATGGTGTGTTAAGGTCGTGAACCACTGGCTGTGTGTCCGCTGAGTGGCACCGTGCGTTGGAAGCTTATCTGTGACACCTCATAACGATGAACAGCCGTACCATTATGTTTACTATGCGCATCATGATTTGTTCCCATACATCGGGATGCGTTCGTCTAATGTCGTGTCAAACATTGCATAATCTTCTTACCACCAATTGTACTTACTGGCAGGCATGGGATACATCACCCGCTTGGATATAACCATCCATGCTGAGAAACTCATTCGTGAGCAATTCTCACGAGCGTCTCCATTGACTCAGTGAACCGTGGCTCAATCTTCTGCGCTTTATCCAGGCCGAGGACCACGGCGCCGTGTTTATCGACGCTCGTGCTCAGCTTCACTTTCCAGGTGCAGAACGTCCTTGAATAGCTCCCACGCTCGGATATACGAGGCGGCGTGGATGATAGGATATGTCCGCTGTCTCTACTATCCATTGTTAACGCAACTGCATCAAAGTGTCTGTGCCGTGTACGCTTCCTTGACATATCCTCGCGTATCTGCAGAGCAAACTACGCAGTCAATCGTATACGAGCCGAAACTTGGTACAACTGGTAATGAAGTTACGACTGATAAGTCGTCATGGACACATCATGGTCCTGACGCTTGTCATTCAGCACTGTGTACGCTAAACTCTCTAGGCGACTCTCCATGCAACCATGTCTCGTGCTCTCAACCACACAGAGCCTCAGTGTATTCATCACATCCCACCCATGCTTACACCCTCGTCTCTGTGCCAACTTCCATCCAGAACGCACATCTCTCCTCGTATGCTTGGGACCTCTCTTCCATGTACGAAGCTGTCCCATTCACGCCGCCCTCCTCTATCACAAGCCGTCCGCTCTCTGCCGTGAGCCACTCCGGCGACGATCCAAGCGGCTTGAATGTGTTTGGACTGAACGCACGAGAGAAGCTCGTCCAGTACCCTATCGTCTCCGTCGCCAGCACTTTCTCCGACGCGTTGAATGGCGCAAACAGCGCTACAGGAGTCGTCGGCGACGGGCCAGAGCTGTGTACCACTTGTTATGGGACACGGACAACAGGCTTCATGCAAGAACTCACTTTGTCCCTGGACGACATGCACACCCATCAGACGCGGACTGCACACAGAGGGAACACGGACAACGACGCACCCTGGAACAGGAAGAACAGCTCCGACGTGTGCATCACACCTTCCCATGGGTTCGCCGCAAGCTGCACCGGATCTGGAGTGTTGAACCGGTAGTTGTACGCGTCCGTCCGACCCTCGGACATTAGCTTCTGCGCAATGACCCAGTCCCTGTTCAACGCCAATTGGCTATCATGCGAGTCGCGAGGCAACTGCGAAACGCTACTGACATGCACGTGAACACCGTGTCTCCAAACGCCCTCTTCGCCCGCTCCCATTGCGACGGAAAGTCGCTCAACGGATACAGTTCGATCATCCGCGCAATGGTGGTGTTGGACTGCAGGTATCGTCATGATGTGTGTTGTTGGTGATCGGAAGCACAGAGGCGCACCAGCAATGTATACCGCTTCATGATGGACGCAACGAACCCGTCCGTCGTGTTCACAAAGTTCGCGGGATCACCCACGAAGATCGACCCGTCGTCTGTGACATGCCCACCGATGAACGGCATCCGATGGAACCTGCCTGTCGCAATCAGCTGTGACGGAAGCGCAGGCAAGAGCATGCCATCGACGACGGGCAGGAAGCCGCAGCTCGATGGTCTGCTGTTAATTGCCGTAACAAGGGCAGACAGCGGTGCCGCGCGGAGGCAGCTCATGATGGACTGCGACGTATTGGTCGGAGATAGACATCCGACGGATGCACTGACATTCGCGAAGCAGTGCTGGAATCAACATATATCAATCGACCACCGAGCCCTTCCTCCTTATGGACTCACCTCGTATTCTTCAGGGATGGGAAGTGGGTCCATCCCGATACTCTGTGCAATCTGGTAGTCGCAGGATCAACATCAGCCTTTTATATATTAGTAGACCAATGTGTGACGCTTACTGCAGCCTGGAACGGTGGCTCGCCTTGCCCTCCATACGACACCATCTGATGCACTATGTCTGCAGAGCCCTGCACAGTCGATCAGTACATGTTGTAGCAAATGTAGCAAGCAGGAAGACGTACCGCGCTCTGTCCACTGACAGTTATCCTGCCGGGGTCCCCGCCGAAACTCGAGATGTGTCTGCCACGCGCAGTCAGCCATGCCTTACGATCGCCATCCTCGATAATAATCGCACCCACCGTCTAACCCAATCGAAGGCCGCACGCTGATCAAGCAGACCAGCATTCATGTCCCCGTCCTCTTGCACGGCCGCCGACGCAAGAAACCCAAACATCCCTAGCCGGTACTGGATATTGACGCCCACCATCGCGCCGCCCGTTTCATTCACCCAGCTGCTCATCGGGAAGCCCTGTGCGCTCTGCGAGTATTCACGTGTTAGCCCAGCCTCAGACCTCGCCTTAGCGCACTACATGCATTCGCATAGTTCCCTCCGCCCTACATGACGTCATGTGAGCTCTGCCGCCTTGCGCAGACATGCAATTGCGTACATGGATGTACAGAGCAACAGGAACATTATCGCCTGCTTGCGTCCCGGCTGATCTCCACACATTGAGGGTCAGACAGTCTGCAAATACCGACGCAAGCTCAGCTCTTGGCTGTCGCAGATTGAACATTAAGTCCACGGACCTTCCGACCCGAACCCAACCTGTGCGGGCTCTTGCATGCATATGTCGCCCCAATCCCGGGCATCCGTCACATTATGCGGACCCACAGTCTCGTCTAGCAGTTGTGGGGCACGGAACCGCAGCTCACCGAGCGGCGGCTGCACGTAGCGTATACCGCCAAAGAACTCGATGCCGGGAAACCCAGGGATAGAGTCGTTGCCCAGGAATGCTGCATATCCCACATCAACTATCGGACCCGATGGGCCAGACGCATTGTTAGAGTAGGACGGCAATGCGTGCACCCCGTGCGCAATACAGGCGAAACATATGCTAGCAAGGAGACAGTATGAGAACATGGCGATGTGGTCTGCAAAGCTATAGACAGATGGTGACCTGTACCGACCTATGTCTGTCCTCACGCTTTATGTGTATACGTCGTCCCCGAGGAAGTTGGTGGGCGTGGTCATGCGCACATCATGAGGTGTGTATTCTCAGGACCGGCCCGTCGTGTGTATTGGCGGATTGAACTCTTGACATTCATAGACGGGAATCCGCGTATGCACGGTTCGTCCCACAGAACCACCGTTGTCCTCAGTCTGCAATGTTACAAAGACGTAACAATATCTGCGTGTTCGAAGATGAAGGGGGCTAGCACCATCCAAAGGTTGTGGCATGCTCCGTCCTGAGTCTAACGATTTCGCAGTCATTGTGGCCTTTCGAGCAGAACACAAGTTGTTTATCGCTCGAGATTTTGCTCGAACAGTGCTCGAACAGTTGTCTCGATTGGGCGACGAGGCTGATTGACTGGAAGGAGAAGCATCGAGCGCCCCGAATCGGCCGATCGTCAGCCACTCGCCACCGCTTTTGCCACTTTTTATATATTGGGAGCAGTGTTGTGCGAGTCGTCAAATGATCGTGCGACTTTGTCTCGTACCCATCCCCCCGTATCCGCACCCCACCACCGCGAAAAGGGGGTCTGGGGCAGTTAGATAGGCGCACCCCCCCCTGGCTTAAGCGCCCCACAAGCGCCGGAATGTAACGGTCACAGGTTGCTTCTGGTACCTAGAAATGATGCGATCTTTGATCGCTTTCCAAATCCGGTACTCACACCTAGCAGGTCGTGCTCGAGGAAGTGTCAACAAAGGCATACCTGAGCTTGTAAAATACTTGAAAGGCCACACAAAAAGTATCTATGCCAAACTCAGCCTGTAAGTTTATGACCAAATGAAGTATCATGTGGAAAGCATCATAATGAAAGCTGCAACTTCTCCTTTCAGTACCTGTGGCATCCTCATGATGTTACTGGAGGGGTATATCTCATGGAATACTTAGGTTGCTGGTGGATATAGTATATGAGACTTATCTAAGATGCTTGAAACAAGTAAA